GGCTCTGGGGGCATGGGGGAGGCCGCGCTGTTTGTGGAAAGCTTGGTGCCCACCCCGTCTCTCGCCCTGCTCCTTGCAGCTGCCTCGCTGGTGTCGATTTTATGCCGAGAAACCAGAGCGAGTTGTCTCGGGAGCGACACGCAGAATTTAACTATTAGTATGTTAAATGTAACTTAATATTGTAGCTAGTTGCTAATTATTGCATCAGATTCCTCCTGTAAAGCTTGCCCCACTTGATTAAAGAGTGCAGGTAGTGGGAGAAGCTGGGACTTGCCTGCGACCGGAGTAAGAGCGTTTTGTCTCCCCTACCATGTTGTCCAGTATGGGGAGCACGAAGGGTTGATTTTACAGAGGATGAAATTGTTTTTGTTGCAGAAGTGCCCAAATTGTGCCGGCTGGAGGCTGATGGAGGACCTTGCAGAGGTCATCTAAAAAGATACGCCTTTAACTTGACCTCGATGAGGTGTGAGGAGTTCATCTACGGTGGCTGTTACGGAAACAGCAACAACTTCAGAGATTTGCAGTCTTGTGTGGACCACTGTCTGCCAGAGAAAAGTAATGGTTGTTCCAAATTTTTAATAAAATAGATGGTTTGAAAGCAATATGAAGATGATACTTTATTTGGTATTTTCCTCTGGATACACGTACAGTGGTATTTTTGAAGACTTCTGTGAAGCAGATTCTTATGTAGTCTACAGACTTGCATGTGTCACTTGTGTCAGCTGTCTGTTACTGAGAGAGCAAAGTGCTGTGTTAGTTTAATATTGTGACCTTAAATGTGCCCACAGCTACCCCCAACTGATCTCTTGACTTCTAGAGACGTGCACATGTATAATCTGGAGGGAAATAAGGTTGGAGATCTGTGTTGAGGCAGATGTAGGAGACGTGTGGCAGTCACGTCCAGGGCAGTGATATCCTGTTATGAAGCAGAAGTGCCTTTATAAAATTCAGGCCTGAGAGATAGTATGAGGTGGCTTGGGATTTTCGCGCTTGCCAACTCAACTGATAAAAGGTTTTTGCCTGACATGACTCTTCACTGTCTCTCCGTATGAACTTTAAATGAGAAGGATGATAATTATAAGCAGATGACTATAGTGAAGCATTGTCATAAACACCAGGTTAATATCCAGTGGAAGGTAGGATCTTTGATGAGGAAAAATATACCAGAATGTGTAAAAGCTGTCTCTGCCTAAGCTTTATAAGTGCTTGATGAGACAGTTGTTTCTGGCTGATGGCAGATTGTCAGTAGTTTCTGAGGTGAATGCTAAACTATTTTTAACTTCCCTGTTGCACATCTGATAAACTGGTAAAAGGTCTCCAGCAAGAAAAGTAATATTTTGTTGAGGCGAAATGAAGCGTGGTGCTTGTGAGGAAAGTGGTGGGGTTTGTACTTTTTGCTGCAAGCGGGCAGGATTTGCTGTCAAAATCTTAGCAAGGATAAATGAAACAGTGTCATCTTCCTCTACAGAGGTAGTTCCACTGGAGGTGTTGTTATATGCCTATATATGTGGAATAAGACTTCTGGCCAAACTATGTAAATATCTCAGATGTCGTATGTATGGCACCACAAATGGGGAAAGCTGATGAATTTCACATGTGGGATAGTAATCCTATTTTCTGGGGCAGTCTGTTGCTTTCTCAAATTCGTAGCTCACAGGAATAAGATGTAATAAGTCTCTGAAGACATGGGTAACAGTCGCATCAGTTCAATGAGAACAAGAGCTGTTTATCCACAAAATTTATTGCAGGGTACATTTTAAGAAGCCAGGCATAGAGATACATTTATGTAATTTGTCTTTCTCTCACTCTTGGTTTTTTTTTTTTCCTTCTTTCTTCTTGAAGCTGGTCCCTTGCTATGCTATAGCCCGAAGGATGAAGGACTGTGTTCTTCTGCTGTGCCTCGCTATTACTATGACGCCAAGACCAAATCATGTAACGAGTTCAAATATACTGGCTGTGGTGGAAATGCCAATAACTTCGTTACTGAAACGGATTGCTACAATGTCTGCAGAAAAGGTAGGATTTTTTGTGTTTTATCAGTCATAAGCAGATAAAGCAATCCAAATACCAGTAATGGGTGTTCATAGTGTTCTTTTACTCACCTTGACTTGCTGTATGCTTTTTGCACTTTGGATTCGATGTTTTCAAAGGCAGAAGAAAGCAGAGATGCAACACTAAATCCTCTTGACAAGAACAGTTCCCTGTGAGGGGTTACACCAGTTTTTGAATGAAGTGTAGAGAGGGGCATGCAAAATGACTAATTAACTTGCTAGAGTCCACAGGGAATCAGTCTTTAAACTGTTCAGTACCAGCATGAATACTAATTAAGGTCTCATTTTCTTCCAGGTATTTTAAAGTAGGGTTAAATTAAGTTGTGAAATCAGTTTACTTTTTTCCTTTGCATATTCAGCAGTCACCATCCTCCCTGGGTTCCCTGCTGCCTGTTTGCATTTCCCATTCCTAAAGATTTCTGCCTCATCAGTTGTGCTGAGTCAACTGGTTCTGTGGCTGTGGGGGGAAGGGTTGGGAATGATATTTCGTTTTTTCTAATGGTTTTATTCAAATCAGCTACTGGCTGTGCTTGTAAGTCAAAACAGTTGTGCTTTTACCTGCAGTCCTATGTTCAAACCAGCTGTTGCAAGTTTTACTACTCTAGCTTAATTAATTTGATATGTAAATCAATGAGAGAGAGAAAAGTATAATTACATGTTGATTCCCAGAGCACTCAAGAAGCAGACACAGCACAATATTTAAAAAAATATCATACTAATGGAGAAAAAAATTAAGGCTGTATCTAACATGTACATTGTCTTTTTCGGGGAAAAAAAAAAGGCAAGAAGTAGTTCTGTTTTAAATATGAGATATGGACAAGGTCCAGGTACTTCAGTATTTAAGATGTGTAGTCAGAAGGCTTAAGTCAGGAGATGATTCTTCATTTCTGGGCTAGAAAAGCAGGGCTAGGGCAAGGATTGCACCCCAAGTACAGTTCTCAGAAGTAAAAATACTGTCTGCCAGTTAGTCACGGCAGTAATACTTCTGTGGGTGACGAGTCTGAGTGTGTCTCTACCATTCTAGTATTGTAAGGGAGTCCTTAATAGCATGCTAAGTCTATCTGAGATGCTTGTGATTATCTAATTTGCATCTATTACTACCTGGGAAATGGTAGGGCCAGGCTCCAGCCTCAGTGTGCAAAGAGAGAGGAGGAGGGAAACTGCCTCTTCAGCGTCTTGCCTCCACGCTCTGCCCCTGCCTACACCCAGCCGGACCCACCCTGGGGGTTCTCCCTTCCCCGCTCTTTTTGTGGCAGAAAGGAGTAAGGAAATGTTGTTTGTCTTGTAACTAGAGCACCAGGCAGCCAAACGGTAAAGGATCGCTTGAAAGCTTTTTCACTAACTCGTGGAGTTCAGTTCAGTGAGGCTTGGTACAACCGAAGCCCATAGTTAAGGGCATAATTAGTGCTAATTAATGTTGTGCTATATATATTCATTTCTGTAGCTTGGGAGTGTACATTCACATTAAACAAATCGTTAAGGCAACTTAAGACACTCCTTCTCTCCTGCTCCCTTAATCCCCTCCCCAGCATCTTTCCTGTTACCTTTTGGAGTCTCAAGCTGAATTCATTTGACCTCTCCCTGTGCAAATATGCAACTGCTGTTTGAATTCATCTATAGCTTCTGGAGTGAAAAGGTTTCTGATTCATTTCATTAAAGAAGTTTATTTCAGAAAATAAATATATTGGGGTGGCAGCGCAAGGATTGTGAACTGGCCAACCAGGCTCTGTGTGCAGGTAAACAGGCAGCATAAAGACGAAAGATTTGTAGTCAGGTTTGCAAAGTACTTGTTTTCAGAACTGCATTCATGCATTTCATGCGGCCTTCGTAAGCATTCCTGGAGATAACCCTGACTGGTTTTGGCTACTCTGCAGCTTCTGTGTGAAACCCAGTTCTGTGCAGAAACCCAGATCATTTTACCTTTTCATTTCCCACAAGCACTGCTTATATTTTAGACTTTGCCCCAGTGTTGTTCAGAGCAATGTAGTAATAGCTCTTTTTTTTTTTTTTCTTCGGATAGAACACTCTGTTTACTTCTATTCTGCTGTCACTGCAGGACAGCTAGAAAGGCTTAGATGCTTGCTCCAGAAAAGAGCAGCAAAGGAGGACTCCAGTGCCAAAGATGGACACATTGGATACCTTACAGTGTGTGAGAGTAGGGTGTACAGAACACATTTTACAATTTCTGATATGTTTGTTATTATTGAATAAACTGCTGAAACCGGGTAACATGAAAAAAAAAACCCAAACAATAAAGAGTATCAACAGTCTTCTGTTCTGTTTCCCTAACGGCTTCCTTGTTTTCTTAGCAGGGACTGAGAAGCCAAGAATCAACAAGCCAACAAATGTCTTCCGCAGAAAAATGATGAGAAAACTGGTTAAGAAACCTCAGACATATAACCCGAAGTCTTAAAGCTGATGTGCACTTGTATGTTTGAAACGCCTTCTTTTGATTCCACTTTCTTCTTTTGTAAGATAGTTGCCATGCAGTTTTGTACACTGACATAGTTCTGACTTTCAGAACTGCTTTTTATTTCCAACTTACTTTTATAAAGAACTGCGTTTTAATAGAAGAAGAATGAACCTAAGTTTGGTTCTTCTGCTCTGTTGTCTTTGCAGTAATACTTTGGCAAAGCCAGGTATTTAGATTTCCATGTTTTTATGGGGAAATGTTACTATTGCCTTGGGAGAATATTTGAGCTGTTACAAATCAATTAAGATTTGAAAAATCAATTGTCTCTTAGTATAACTAAGAAGAGTACAAAGCTAAATCTCTGTCATGGATTTTTTGGCATCCTCTGCTTCCTAAAGAAAAGGAACCTTTCAAAAGCGCGTTCAGAGGTTTGTTGCCCTGTGATTTTACATACTTTGGCACTATTATTTAAGTAGACTGCCCTTTACAAGTTATGTTCATAGTCAAGGCTTTCAGAAGCCTTCATAACAGTGAAAGAAGTATAAACTTTATCTGGCTCATTCCACAAGAGAAAATTGGGAATAGGGGTACTTTGATAAAGACTCTGACAAAGGCAATGAATAAGCTACTTGAGTATAAAAATGAAAATGTAGCCATTACTTTTTCATGACGTTTGAAATTTCTACTGTTACACTCCAGATCCTCGTATGGCATGAATCAGCATATTTTTATTGATTTTAATGGAGCTACACTGATTACATTTGCTGAGGATCGTGATATTTGTGTTTATGCAGTGGCTGTTAAAGCAGAAAAGCAGAAGCTTCTGCAAATCTCATGTAATCCCTCTTTTGAGGCACTATTGTATATCTTATCGTAGATTATGCCTATGGTGATATTATTGCACCTTCTTTTATGTTTTGTATTTGAGCCATGTCTGAATTTCAGTTAATTTCACCTACAATATTTTCTAAATATGAATTCATAAGTAATGTTAATAAAATGTTTTTGGGAAAAAAAGGAGAGCTGCTTCTGTCGTATGCTTCTGTTAATTATCCTGAATTAGTTGTATACACTAATATGTGTAATGGAATCTATTTACTAATTATGACTCTAGCAGAGTTTAGCTGTCTCTTAAATCATTTCCTTATGCTGAGGCCTTTATTTGAAGAAAGCCAGTAAATTGCATTGATGTCATTCATCCCCAGCAGTTTTTATGGCTCAGCTCTCCCTAAAGAGCTGCTCTCAAAGGGGTGCTTAGTTAAGCTGATTGTCTGCTGCTGGGTCTCGTGTTTGATGTTGTGCTACCTGAAGAGCTTTTGTGTAGGTAGCGGGCTATATGCTTGAAATAATGTTGGCTTTCAGTTTGAAAATTTCAGGTGTGTGCTTTATCCCTGTTTCAGAGGGGGAACATGATGGGAAAACTAGTCAAGATTTGGTTTTCTTACTGATTTTTCTCTCGCTGCTGGATTTTCAATTAAAGCGGTCAGCTACGCTTGCCATAGTCTTTCTACCATTCCATTTCTGGTTCTTTATCTCAAAAAACCTTCTTATTTCAATTAATCTATTACTTATTGTGGGCAAATGAGCATAGTCTGTGACAGAAAATTGCAGGTAACTAGTGACATAGTTCTGAGTATTTGTCTCATACCCAACTTCTCCTCTGGGAACTAGTCTTCAAACAGAAATGGTGACACTCTAACGTCCCTGGGGGAGACAGGGCATGCTATCCATGGGTGCTGTCCATGTCCCTTCGCTTGGGCTGTGCAGCCCAGAGTGTTCCTCTGAATATCTGAATATTTTTTCATGCATGGCACTATCATTTGGGGGACCCCAGCTGCATTTGTTGCAGCTTTCTGACTGTGGCTTAAAAAACCAGGCCCGTTTCAGAGGTCAAAGTTCAATTTAAACATTGCTTTTAACTGCACAGGATGGCCATCTTAACACCATCACTATGGGGTGTAATCTCTGGTTTGAGAAATGGAGTATTACTCCTTACCTCATTGGGCCTTTGACTTTTATAGGAGTATCTTGGGGTGGGATACAAAAGTGGACCTGGGATTTAAAGGAAGCCCAAAATCTGAGAGCAGCTCCACCTCACTTAACTTTTTGGTCTCAGAACTGGGTGCCTGGTCACACATCATGACATATGCTGGGCAACATGATACCCAGCTAGTGTCCTGGAAGGGATCCAAGAGTTTGATAGTCTTTTGCTCATGCTCCCTCAGGGGCTCAGTGAGCACTGCCTTGATGGACTGGGCACCATCCAGGATGCCACAATGGTCGCTGTAGCCCTTTACAATACGACTGCTCCACATGCTCTTTCTTTTCTTGCATAAAAGCATAATTCAAAGTCCAAGAGCTTACTGCTAGGATACTCAGTGGAGTACAGAGGCTTGGGGTTTAATCTCTCACCTAACTGATAGTACACAGAAATTTAACCTCCACCATCCCTAATTCTCACAGGGTTTCCTAGTGAGCAGGGTGTAGAGTAGAGGACTGGGGGGGGGGGGGGGGGGGGCTGTCCGGAGGAGGTGGTGGGGGGGGGGGGGGGGGGGGTGGGAAGGGAGAAGGCTATAGAAGTTTCTTTCAGTCCACTAGTGAAGCTATTCCACTTTGTAAAAATTGTACCTTCTTCCCAGGTAAATGCCCCAATCTGTTTTTTTTTTAAGCTACAAAGGATTTAATCTGTCAATGTGCTGCTTTGCTTCATGTTCTTAAGTTACTCTAATATCCCTCTGGACTCCTGTGGCTTTGACTAATCTAAATAATTCTCTATTATCTACAGCATTTTAAATGACTCATGACTGACTTCCTTTTTCAGTTTGCTGATGAAACAACACTGGCCCAAGGTTGGGTCGATTGTTAGCATTTTGCCACGTTGAAAATTAATGCAGCCCATACCATCCTGCAAATTAACTTTTATTATAGTAGCCAGTGTCCAGCACCTGGTATCATGTGTCACAGCACAAATTTCTACTGCAGAGGGAAGCAGTGATTACAATCGGTTGGGTTCGTCTTGTCTTGCATAGGCAAACAGCCACTGAAACTCATGACCGGTGATTTGCATGGGACAGTCATACCTGCTACTGAACAGTGGTTGCCAAAATCAACAGAGTTGACTACACTCCATTCCAAATAGCATCACTGGTCTTTAACTTTCAATTGCAACCCATGATTCAAGTTCTTTTCTTAGTGATATCTTGCAAAGAACTATATCAAAGACTCCATAAAAATGAAAATCTGTGCTGATTCTTCATTCCTAGTCTGTGGCAACACTCAGGGAATTGCTTTGTGAAGCATTTCAAGAGTAGGAGAGTGGCTTCATCTTTATATTTCAGTGGATTCTTATGTGTCAATAAGAGAAAATGAAAAAATCCATATGGAAACTCATAATCTTTTTTATTGGTAAGCTAAATGATGGCAAGCAAAATTTCACTACTGCTCATTTTAACAGTGACTAGCCCCAACAAATTCCTTTCTCACAATTCCATACTTTCGGAGCAAAGTGATGATGAGTTCAGCTTGTGTCCCTGGAGTCAGATTTCTGACTGTCAGAAGTGTCCCTATTCCTCTATCACTTCTTGTCAGCTGAGGAGGTGGAAAACATGGAATATCTATTTGAAAAAAGAAAGATTTTTTATTAGACACAATGGGCCACATCATTGAAAAAAAAAAAGACATCACTGAACTTGTGTCTCAGATGAAGACTCTGTCCCTAAGCTCGAAGTCAGCTGTACTGCTGAGAGCAGCTGTGCTGAATCCAGGCAGGGACAAGAAATCAGTGCTACGAGATGAATGCAGTCCAGCCATGGTTATGCAAATCTTGAAGAACCACGTTGCGGATGTGCCAGAATTATTATGCATTTACATTAGTGTTATTGAAAGCAAAATCTGCCTCATTATCTTTCTAGAAAGCTTTTTATTATTATGCATAACTATCACTGGTGATAATTAGCACAGAGGTACACCCACAGAGGTCCCTTCCAACCCCTACCATTCTGTGATTCTGTGCTTCTGCTGAAGTGAGCCTAATTTTTCAGTGTATGGTGGTCCTGTACAGTAATGTCTGTCATCTGATAAATTACTTAATTGCTGAGAAAGGGTGTTATCATAGTACATAAAGCCTAAAGAACAGCAATGATATTAAAAAAAAACCCTATGTAAACAAGATGCATAAAAGCATGCTGTTTGACATATTAGCAACTGATGTGATCGTGAGCTGTGATTTCCAAATAAATGCCAGAGAAATGAGCATTCCCAGCTCGTGCCTGAACGGTGCATAGAAGAGAGATAGTTCAAGTAAGTTAAAGACAAATTTATTTTTCTATTACGTGGGAATAAAGCAAACTCCTTTAATGAAGGTTCCCTTCGTACTGGGAGTGCTGACCATAATTTCAGATGAATATGGACAAAATGGATGCTCTTCCAGACACATCTGGTTAGGTGGCTAACTGCTTGTGTGTGAAGGGTTTAAAATGCAATTTGAACTCAAAGTACATCACATTCTCTCACTTGGTGGGGCCGAACTTACAACTGGTGAGCATACAGGAATATTAAGCCTTATGTTTTCTCATGCTAGATCCTCGTTAAAGGCCTTAATGTATTAACTACAGGTTAAATTCTTGCACATATCTGCTAGACGAATTACACTATTTTTGCTCTGTAAGCTATGTTGAAGATTTGCTACTCACTCTGCAAGTGTGCAGCATCTTTTCTGAGAGGGTAATGCATGATTAAAATTTTTAAACCTTAGTATGAAATGCAGTAATAAAACTCATAGTAACTACTAAATGCATATGAACAGTTCTCTATGGGGTATTTTTCTGTATGTGTGGGAAGCAAGATAAAGAGGATAGATTACACTAATAGCAGCTATTTAAAGAGTCAAGAGAGTAAGGGGTGAAAAATATACCTCATTATCAAACTATAAAAAAACCTTCCATCATTGCAGTAGTTTTCAACCAGGAGAAATCGTTAGTTTTACTGATGTTAAAAAAGAA